ACACAACTTTTATTGTGAGACAACTCTATTTATGATTCAAGACAGGGCATTCACACCAAATGGCTATTGTGTGTGTGTGTGTGTGTGTGTTTGTTTTTTTTTCCATTTGACAATCTGAGAAAAAAGAGGTCAATGCCCCTGGCTAAAGAGTCAGGTATTGCATGTTTTAAAAATTCTAGGGGGACACTGGTTGAAAATCACTGGTCTAAGCACTCATAGACTCTTGGAAAAATTTCAGCCAGCATGGAGTACCTGAACCATCCTTACTTGACTTGCACTTGTGCCTTAAAAGACTGAATAAGAAATTGACTAGTCAATTATCTGGAAGAATAAATAATTTTGGATTTACCTCTTTGGGGACTGACCTTTCCATCTATGATGGTTTATTTTTTTGTGTCAAATTGACTGGGCCTCAGGTTGCCCACCATTATTCTTGGGTTTACCATTATTCTTGGTGTGTCTGTGAGAGGATTTCTGGAGGGATCAACATTAGAATCAATAGGCTGTGTAAAGCAGGTTGCCTTCCCCCATGTGGGTGGGCCTCATCCAATTCCTTGAAGCTCAAAATAGACAAAGGTTCAGTAAGGGAGAATTCACTCTCTTTACTTAACTGTCTTCAAGCTGGGACATTGATCTTCTTCTGTCTTTGGACTAGCACGTGAACTGGAATTTACACCTTTGATTCTCCTGCTTCTCAGGCCTTTAGACTCATACTGGAAGTAAACCATAAACTCTAAACTCACGTAGGTCTCCAGCTTGTGCAGACTTCTCAGCCTCCATAGTTGTGTAAGCCAATTTCTATAATTTCACCCTCCCTCCCTCCCTCCCTCCCTCCCTCCTCTATTTCTTTGGAGAATGCCAATACAGATCTTGGTCCTGAGAGTCGTTTTAGAAGAACAGAATGTTAAGCATGAATTTTCTAAATTGTGACACGACCACTGACCAGGAGTGACCGCGGAACACTGTGGATGGCTGATCAAAACACAAGAAAAACATACACAAAGACAACCAGGTCCTGTGGGGAAATAGGGATGGAATGGCCACTCTCTCTAGTGGGGAGCACCTTGGCCACCCTCCCTAGGCGAGAGCGCCCCATTCTCCCACCGGAGCAGGCTTTTATTGGGTTCATTTACACAGGAATTCAGGTAAAACTCATTACTCATTTCCAGGAAGTAAGGATCAAATAACAAGAAACTCTGAGGGCCTATTTTGAGTCAGGGTCAAATAACTAAAGAGCTGTAAAAAACTTTAAGGAACAAACTTATTTCTTCCTTGGACTCTTATCATTTAATTAAGAGCATTCTAAACAAAGCAGGTTTCACAGGATTTTACATATTTTTTCTTAGGCCTGATCCCCCCACCCCGCTGGGGAACCCGCCCTTTCCAGCACAGGGCTGCACCATCCTCTGTCATTGTTTCAGGCTTAGGTGGAGCAAGGGAAGTAAGGCAGCCAAGAGATTAGGAGATTTTCTCGCAGACAATGAGGACTCAGGCTATGTCAAAGCCGAGGGGCGAGGGTCCATCACCCCCTTTTTGCTGTAGCCCCCAAAGTCCTTTCTTGGGGGCCTCCCACATGATCTCATGTGTGTTAGGTCATTCCCCCCTTGGGGAATCTTACCTGTCATTGGCTAACCGACCAAGCATTGGCAGCCAGTTATGGATGAAGTAAAAGGAGCAGAAGTGGTGCTCCTGACAGGGAGATAAGCTTTTGTCTCCTTGGTGGCTTATGGTCCAAGGTCATTTCCTCAGCCTTGGCCTTGGCAAGGGTTACAGCTTCTGGTACCAGGCAGGGTGGTTCCCAACAAAATTGTTCCTGGGATTCTGTAATTGCCCTCTAATGTGATTAAAGATGCTAATGACTCTATTTCCAGTAGTAAAGAGAGCACTGAAATTCCATGATGTGAATAGTCAATAGAAATCCATAAAATATCTGCACTGGATACACCTAATCAGTCACTTAAAAAAAGCAAGGATCTGAATGACTGTGTATCGGATACTTTTCAACATTTTTGAAAAACTAATTAATATAATGAGATTTCCAGTTCCTTCTAATGTTGCTGGACAAAGTGATGAAAGAAAAGAATGAGCTTAGGGTTTGAATTCCCAGCTCAAGCACCACATAACTGACCAACGTGTGCCCTGAAGGAAACCCTTGTCTCCTGTAGCCTGGGTGCTGAGATTGCTAAAAATCAAACATAAAATCTTATTCTGTAACTGGCTGAATTACAACACAAGTTGAATACCCAGCCTCATAGAGGTTGCATCTTCTGTTACAATGATAGCATTGACTAAGAAAGAATGGATTCCCGTAAGTTGGAATAAGGAAGGCCCTGCAAAAGCTGGGCAAGCTGAGCTCCTAAATTCTGACAAATCTTCTTTGCCAGTGGAAGTGGCCTCTCCCAGTAGAACCAGACTCCCCACCTCCAGTGGTAGCAATCCTTCCACCTCTTACCAGACTAAGAGAAAATTAACCCTACTTGTCTGAGAAAAGTAATGGCTTCCCCCTAAGGCCGTTGCCTCCCATGACAATGCTAATTATCTTCAGGACACACCGCTCACCACTCTCTTTGCTTTTAGACTTACAAGCAGACTCAAATTCCAGCATGCCCATATGTATGAGGTAGAAATCTCAGTAAAATCTATGAGGAGATATGCTATACTTCCAAAGCATTACTTAAGTTTTATAATTTATATGAACAGAAATCCAGGCAATATGTGTAAGAATGGATATTAAGGGTGGGAGATCATGGTGGAAGGAACATGAAGTTGAATCAGGCCAAATTTATCAATGTCTGGCATGTTATAGGCCCTTGGGAAGAGACGGCTTTGGTTGCAACATCTGTTACACCATCAGTCTCCAGAGTAAATCCTTGAATCCAGTTCAAAGAGACCAACTTCTCATTTTCTCTCACTGTTCATATCCTTCCTTGTCTCTCACAGATTTTAAGTATCCCTCCTTAAACAGGAAGGGGGTTTGAAAAGTACATTTAGGGGAAATTTGTTCTTTATTCAACAAAGGGTGAGGATGAGGTACTCAATAAATTGTTGGATTTTTCCTTCTTTATAATCATATTTCAATATTCACCTTTTCTTTTTGTGTCTAGCCATTTCTTCTTCTTTAGCTATTCATTATCCCCCAATTCCAGGAAACACACACACCCCATGAGATATAGATCAAGACCAATGTCCTAGCCTGGCTGGTGTAGCACAGTGGATTGAGCTCAGGCTGCAAACCAAAGTGTCGCAAGTTCAATTCCCAGTCAGGACACATGCCTGGGTTGCAGGCCACGGCCCCCAGCAACTGCACATTGATGTTTCTCTTTCTCTCTCTTTCTCCCTCCCTTCCCTCTCTAAAAATAAAAAAAAAAATCTTCAAAACAACAACAACAACGAAAAAGGTTGACTAATCCTTTACTCTACAGTCCATTGCCAAGGTGCTCCAAGCTAGTTTAACTTCCTTCTTTCATGGTCTCATATTTAAATTTTTTCCTTGTATTTCATCAAAGCTTACAGCAGCTATCTTCACCCATTTGTCCTTAAATGTTTTAAGGCCCTTTTCCAAGCTCTGACATGAGAATGCAACCTTTCTTTCCAACACATCAGTTTCCCCAGCTGATCTCAGAGACTAAAGGACTTTTCCTGGCCCTATGCTCACAGACGTGGAATTTCTTCAAGTATATGCATGTATTGAATGTGTGATTAAACACATTACTTACCATTCTTATAACATCTTACTGTTTGTTTTTCTTCAGTGAATGTTCATTCTGACAAAGCCTATTGAAATTTAACAATAGCACTGTCCTAGATGTTGTGGATATAAAATGAATAAAGCACTCATTTCAGCCTAGGAGGAGCTCATGGTGTGGAAAGGCAGCATGTAAACATGTATATTGCAATGTGATGTGAAGCAAAATGAACTTCCTGAGCTGGTAAAAGGTCTCATAGGAAGTGACATTAAAAAAAAAAAAGATTTTATTTATTTATTTTTAGAGAGAGAAGGGAGAAAGAGTGCAAGAAACATCGATGTGCCAGAGATTCATTGCAGGCCCCCAAACAGGTACCTGCCCCACAACCAAGGCATGTACCCTGACTGTGAATAGAGCTGCTGGTTCAGAGGCCAGAGCTTAATCCACTGAGCCACACCAGTCAGGGAGAAGTGATATTTATATTAATCTGGAAACCTAAGTAGGAGTTTTCCAATCAGAGGATGGGGTGAGTCCACGTAAGGGCAGAATAGAGCATCTGAGTAAAAAGTATCAAGTGTGCAGAGGTTTTGAAAAAATTGAGGACGATACTGACATGTTTGGGGATGTCTAATGGCTTCAGGGTGGTTGGATGTGTGTTGGATTGAATGTCAGGGATCAAATTGAGAAGGTGTGTGTAGAGAGGATTGAATTCTATTCCACAGGCGAGAGAGGAAACTGTTTAAGAAAAGGAGTTTAACAATCAGGATTTTCTGTTACACTTCTATTTTCACTAACCTAAGTACCCAGAATCAGGGTTTTGAAGTCTGAAAGCGGGTGTGGTCTGCTTGGTTAATTAGCGGTGCTCTGGATAGCCTCTCAGGTGAGACACTGCTTTCCACCACCTCCCACCCCCGGCCCCCAGGTCTAGAAACAGCATGTTTTCAGTATACCCAGGGTTACCAGTCTGATCCCCGTGCCCACCTGTGCTAATTTATTTACCGTTTATTACTACAACACTGTCCTCCAAATGATGTCTCTCCTTGACCACGGTTGGATATAAACTCTGTCTCTCAACCACACTTCTCTGTTTTCACACTTTCTTTTTTAAGTTCTGTCGATCTAGTCTTCAAGCTTTTTGCTGATGTTTTGGTCCATGCCACCCTACGTCTTAAATAAACACTTTGAGACAAGCGGCACTGGTAGCCACGCCCAGGCAAAAAGTTGCGGATCCAGGAGGTTTGTCTGCACCAGCGAGCCATACTGACGATAGTAGCGCGCAAGCGCACATCCCGGCTCGCGGAGGCGTGTTTTTCTTTCCGGCTTCCTGGTAGGTGGACTTGGGCGCTTTGCTCTCTGCCTCTCACCGCGGCTTGTATTTTGCTTAGCGACAGACCCATGGCCGAGCGTGGGGAACTTGACCTGACCGGCGCCAAACAGAACACCGGAGTGTGGCTGGTCAAGGTAATGTTGGCGCGACTGTCGCTTGCGGTCCTCCTATTATAAGTAGTTTAAGTTTCTTGAGACCGCCCCACTTCGTGCACCTTTTAAAGTTCCTCATGGTCATCTTCACATATCTTGAGTTGTGTGACTCATTGTTATGCACTTGTGCAGACGAGGAAACTAGCTTAGAACAGCAGTATCTTTCAGCCGGAGTCCCAACCTGCCTGTAATAGATTTCCATTCCCAACGACCTGGTTTTTCCGGGGACCTTTCATGGCCCCGATTCGAGCGGTGCATTTTACCCAGGACTGAAGAATTTCTGCATTTTCTTTTGGTGAAACTGATTTAAGTCATGAGCCTGTAAAGGAAGTTGAGTGTCTGCTTCCTGTACATTTTTCTCGGCCAGAAAATAGAACTGATCTCTGCATACCCTTAAATGCTCTCTTGAGTTGGTGTCCCTTAATCACCTGAGAGAGCTCGGAGTTCACGGAAGAAGAGGCCATTGGATTGGAGTGTTCTTTTAGAGCATGACAGAGTCTCCTGAAACAGATCGTCAAAAAATTTTTTTTTGTAAATACAGCAATTAGACATTAATGAGCGCAGTATTTGTACTTTACTTTTTCATATAGGTGAGCGTTTATGAGAGTTTCATAAGATATATATGTATGTTCAAAATGTAATTAAGAGTCTTTGAACCTCAAGCAAAATGGTTTGTTAAACTTAAAAAAACTTTATCACATGGCTGCGTTATCAAGTAAATCTGAGAGGTCCTTCTAGTTCAACCTTTCTAAAATAGTTGCCTTATCATCCTTCCTTAGCATGTCGAACCTGTGTTGTACTATTCTTCAAAACCCTTTCCAGTGTGAAGTGATTCTGTGTTTGTGTGTTCAGTGTTGGTTACCTCCCTTTCCCTAGCGCCTGCACATGTACATGCACACATACAGTCGCATTACATGAGCATGGTTCCCTTGCCTGTCACACCCAGACTTGTGTTTGGCACGTGGTAATTGCTCAAGATAGGTGATGAATGAATGACGTCTTACTCTTCAACCCTAGCCTTAGTCTCTGGCACTCATTTGATTTACCACAGCTATGTCGGTATGAATTTAAAAAGATACAGTAAGTGAGCATTCCTCTCTCCATGCTAAATGGAGGAGAAACATTAAGGAGATCTCCCATACAGACTTGAAGAAGGAGCTTGAAAATATAGTGGAACTTGAGATGATGCATTTATGATTGCAGCACAGTAAATGCTCAGTAAATGTTTACCTTAACAGGATTTGGATGGGTGGACAGAGGCATAGCATAGTATACTATGGAACAGAAATGCAAGACTGTAGTGCATATTAACATGATGTCTCCTGGGAAATAAAGAGATGATTATACCTAGAGCAGAGGGTCTGTAAGAATCATATGTTCTTACCAGTCTTGTACCTCTCCCTTGTGCCGCTGTTGGAAGTGGGTCTGTGTAAAAAAAGGTCGGGAACAAGTACTCATTCTTTGTATCTGACTCAAGATTGAAAAACTGTAAAGGTATATGATGATTTAGAGTTCACACTACTTCCTGGAAGAAATGAATTAAGGTACACAGTAGGGATCCAACATGTATTTTCTTAACCATTTTGAGAATTATAACCCTTCTAATTGCATATATCTAGTTACGGACACAATATAGTGTATTGGTTACATAGATGTGGGAACCAGAAGGCCTGGATTTGAATCCTGGCACCATCATTTGCTGATTATATAACCTTGGCTAAATTATGTAATCCCTGGGTTCTTCAGATCCATCATCTGTCATATGGGGGTAGTCAACAGTGCATACCTTGTAGAGATGTGAGGATTAAATGCATAAATGTATGGAAAGTGCTTGTAATAGTGTTAGTAAAGTAGTATTATATAAATGTTAGCTGTTATGTTGAATAATACTTTCTTTTCATTAGATCTTTCATATTGGTCATAGTTTATTATACATAATAAAACTTTTTGAAATCTTAAAGTCAGTGGTGTCCTAAATAATATGTCAGAGTGTTATGCTCCTCTGAGAAGTCTTTTCTGGTAGCCTGTCTTATCTTTAAACTTTTATTGGACTTATTTGGGAACATAAGTTAATACTTTTTTCTTGTTATTTGACCCATGTTATTTTTGTGTCACAAACTTGATTGGCTTCAAGCTCTTTGAGAGCAAAAGGCATTTCTTACCTATCTTAGTATCATAGGGCAAAACATATATTGAGTTTGATATTAATGATTATTTATTACAAGCAGAAAGTAAAATGGAAGCAGTATATCATTTTATGTTTAAAAAGATTCATTAGTATCCAAAACATAGTCTTATTAATTTTTTACTTTGTGTTAGGTTCCTAAATATTTGTCACAGCAATGGGCTAAAGCCCCTGGAAGAGGTGAAGTTGGGAAACTACGGATTGCAAAGTAAGTTATTTGTATGTTTTTGACTTTTTGAAATGCTGTTTGTAAAAATTTTTTAAAGTGTTTTTTACATGGAATTATAGTCTTTTTCAGAAAATTTACCTGGAAAATTAGAGGTAATGAGCATGTCAAACCTAGTCAAGAGATGGTTAGATGCTTCGTAGGGAATCATCTGTGCACATGGTGTGTGCACAGATAAACACTCTCACACTGGCACTGCCCCCCTTCTGACAGGTGTAAATATGAAATCAAATTTGTTGGTAAAACTTACTGGCAGTAAAGCAGAGTATGTAGTTCTCTCATCCCTCCTTCCTCTCCATATCTTGTGAAGAGGTATGTTTGGGTTATCATAACTGGATATATCAGAAAGATTTTGCCCTTGTGCCGCTGTTGGAAGTGGGTAGGGAAAACCTGGTAAACAATGTAACAATGTAGTTTCCTGGTGGAGGAAATCGCCTTCTTACAAAGGGAATCCTCCAAAGTTCATCCTGTGTCAGCCAGAGGGCTTGTGTTTCACTCTCTCTGAAACAAAAAAGATCTAAAATCACAGTTACTAGAAGAATCATTTGATCTTACCAGTCTTATACCTCTCTTTGAACTTGACCTGGGCCTCCCCTCAGGCCTTTCTGTTTCAGAGCAGGGATAACAGTTTTGTCCAAGGGGGTACGCACACAGTACCTTGTGGATATGAGGTGATTGTAGTTATAAACTCACAAAAGACTTGATCTTTGACCTCTTAACAATTTCTTCTTACCCATGGCAACTATCTCTTTGTGGGGATAATGGTCAATTCCAGACACACCTGCATGGCTGGCTGTAAACACAGTCTGTGGTGCCATCATCAGTGTTCTTCATGATGACCGCTTTGTGTCCAGAGTAGCATCCAGCCAGGACCAGCACCACCTTCCAGGGTTTCATAAACTTGCCCATTTCCACAGTGGCCACTTGGGCCTAGAGCAGAAAGGCTCTGTCCATTCTTTACTAATCCAACTCTTAACACAATTTCCATGCCTGCTACTTTATTAAATAGCTCTTATCTGCCACCATTATCCTCTCCTTTGCCAAGCTTTTGCTTTAAAACAAACCACCACAAAATTCAGTGGCTTAGAACAAATGCCATTTTATTTGCTTATAATTCAGTGGGGCAGTTCTGGTTGGAGCTGACCAAGCTGGTCTTTCTGGCTGGAATAGCCTTACTCATGTGTCTAGTGGTTGGCTTGCAATCAACTGGGGTAGTAGTCATGTGTATTTCATTTCCAGCGTGCTTATTCACATGATGGTAAAAGAATTCCTAGTAACAAAAGAGAGGGGAAACCCCAATGCACAAGCACTTTATAAGGCTGTTCTTGGATATGGTTTGCTGAAGTTCTATTAACCAATGCAACTTCCATAGCCAAGCCCAACTTCAGGGGTGGAGCAGTAGACTCCACTTCTTAGTGGGAATTAATTGCAAATAATTCGTGGTCCATTTTTGCAGTCTATCACATCCATGTTCCTAAATCTAACAGTCAACTAGCAGCCCTCTTGATCCACTTCAGTGGAATTTAACACACTGATCACTTCTTATTCCCAAACCCTTTTTTTCACTTCACTTCCAGGACATCATTCTCTTGATCACTGGCTGGCTATTCCTTTTCAGTCTCTATTGCTGGCTCCTTCTCATCTTCTCACTTAGGGTTCAGTTTTTAATTTTTTTCTTCTCTCTATTTAGGGTTATGTAATCCCGGGGTTCAGTTTTTAATTCTTCTATTTGACTGGTTATTTAGGTGGTCTTATTTGGTCTCAGGTCATACCAGGTGTGTTTAAAGATATATCTCAAGTATGGCTTCTGTCCTAATCACCAAGATGCATATATCTCACAACCTCTATGATGTTTCCCCTTGGATGTTTGGGAGCATTTCAAACTTAATCATCACTTTTCCTCTTTTTGGAACACTCTTCCTTTAGATATCCCTATGGATAATATTAGCTCAGCCAGGCCTTTTCTGATTATCCTATATAAAATAGCACCTAGTACTCTATTCTCCTTATTCTCTTCTTTCCCTCCGTAGAACTTACCACCATTCTTTCATTCAGCTTCTACAATGCCCATCTGACATACTGTATTTTTGTTTGTATGTTGTTCATCTGTCCGATTAGAGTAGAAGCTCCATGAGGTCAGGATTTCAGTCTTACTGACTGCTGTATCTCCATAGTCTAGAACAGTGCCTAGCATAGTAGACACCTAGTAATGATTGTTGAATCCATAAATGAAAACTGCTATGACAAATTTATAATAGCTATTTTATTCTTTAGTTCCAAAAGTGAGATAGAAAATTAGAATGTGAACATTTTTAAAGCATAAATTTTTCCTCCATCTCCCAATGTATAGAATCTAGACCTCTTTTTCCCTAAAATACCCACTGTCTCTGTGCAAGGTTTGTACTTGTTTTGGAGGGGTGTCCTTTTAAAATTAAACTAATCTTTCTACATCAACATCCTGCTTCAGAAAACTTCCAGTTTTTAAAATCTTTGGTACATGGTTTATTTTACTGACAATCGTGCAGTCTGCACTAATGTGGCTTATCTCAAACTTAATTATTAGCTTTGTTTCTAAACAATTTAACATTCAATGTCATGTGTGGGCTCACTAATAGTAAAAAATATGCAAACAAAAACTGAGGTACAATTTTTCTGTTAAAAAATGACTAAGGTTAGAATAATGTTATACTATTTTAGGTTGGTACAAACTTTGAAGGGCAGTCAGGTACCATATATGTATATGTACACACATACATACTGCTGCTCAGAGCAAAGTAGAATAAAAATTCCACTGTTTCCTCTGCCAGTTAGTTCACAATGCAAGCATTATGTTCAGTTCTTGATGCAGCCCTTATAGAAAGACAAACTGATACAGCAGCATGGGGCTGGGATAATGAGAAGGCTAGAAATATTAATGATAAAATACCATGCTTTTGACCCAGTAATTTCTAGGAACTTATCTTGTGGAAGTTACAAGTTAGTGATGGCACAGGTTGAAAGGTTGGCATATAAGGATATTCATTTCAACATTGTTACAGAAAAAAATTAGTAACATTCTCAAATTCCTTACTAAGGGACTAAGTAAACTGGGTACATTTTACAATTATTTAATGCTTTTAAAACAATCTCAAGTTGCAGAAAAGTTGGAGGAATAGTATAAAGAACTTTTCTATTACATCATGTTGGACATTCTCCAACATAATCACAGGACAGTCCTCCAAATGAGTAGATGAGCATCAAATTGTACTATTACTTAATCGTAGACTTTATTCAAGATTTGTCAGTTGTCTCTATAATGTGTCATAGGAATAGGATCCAGTCCACGAGTTCATGTTGTGTTCTGTTGTCAGGTCTCTTTAGTTTTCTTAAATCTAGAACATTTGGAAATTTTTTTTAGTGTATAAATGTTAGTACTCTTGGGTTTGTCTGACTATTTTTCATGATTAGATTCAGGTTATTCATCTTTGGCAAGAATATCAGAAAGGTGAAGCTGGGTTCTTAATTTTTCTTTTCTTTTAAACAATTTTAATATGTTGTATTGATTATGCTATTACAGTTGTCACATTTCCCCCCTTTATTCCCCTCTACCCTGCGCACCCCCCTGCCACCTGCAATCCCCCCTTTAGTTCATGTCTGTGGGTCAATATATAAGTTCTTTGGCTTCTACATTTCTTATACTATTCTTAACCTCCCCCCATCTATCTTCTACCTACCTTTTATGGTACTTATTCTCTGTACCTTTTCCCACCCCCGTCCCTACCCACTCCCCTGCTGATAACCCTCCATGCGATCTCCATTTCTAAGATTCTCTTCCTGTTCTAGTTGTTTACTTAGTTTGTTTTTGTTTTTGTTTTAGGTTCAGTTGTTAATAATTGTGAGTTTGTTGTCATTTTAGTGTTCATATTTTTTATCTTTTTCTTAGATAAGTCCCTTTAGCATTTCATATAATAAGGGCTTGGTGATGATGAACTCCTTTAACTTGGCCTTATCTGGGAAGCACTTTATCTGCCCTTCCATTCTAAATGATAGCTTTGCTGGATAGATCAATCTTGGATGTAGGTCCTTGCCTTTCATGACTTGGAATACTTCTTTCCATCCCCTTCTTGCCTGCAAGGTCTCTTTTGAGAAATCAGCTGACAGTCTTATGGGCACTCCTTTGTAGATAACTGTCTCCTTTTCTCTTGCTGCTTCTAGGATCTCCTTCATTTTTACCTTGCCTAATGTAATTATGATGTGCCTTGGAGTGTTCCTTCTTGGGTCCAACGTCTTTGGGACTCTCTGAGCTTCCTGGACTTTTTGAAAGTATGTTTCCTTTGCCAGATTGGGGAAGTTCTCCTTCATTATTTTTTCAGATAAGTTTTCAATTTCTTGGTCTTTCTCTTCTTCTGGCACCCCTATGATTCGGATGTTGGAATGTTTAAAGATGTCCTGGAGGTTCCTAAGCCTCTTCTCATTTTTTTGAATTCTTGTTTCTTCCTTCTGGCTCTCACCATTGATTCGAGTCCCAGTTTCCTTCCCATCAGTATTGGTTCCCTGTACATTTTCTTTATTTCACTTAGCATAGCCTTCATTTTTTTCATCTAATTTGCGACCAAATTCAACCAATTCTGTGAGCATCCTGATTGCTAGTGTTTTAAACTCTGCATCTGGTAGGTTGTCTATCTCTTTGTCACTTGGTTGTATTTTTTCTGGAGTTTTGATCTGTTCTTTCATTTGGACCTTTTTTTGTCTCAGCGTGCCTGTTATGTAGTAAGGGGCGGAGCCTTAGGTGTTCACCAGGGTTGGTGCCTTGTGAGGAGGTATGTGTGGGTGGGGTCCCAGAGGGAACAGTGCCACTTGCTGTGCTCTCTGCCAGTTTTCAGTCACTTTCCCCACCACCCACAATCAAATTAGGCCCTTCTGCTGCTGATTCCCCAGTGGGTGGGCTTGTGTATGTTCTAGGACCCTGTTCGTCTCTACAATTAACTCTCCTCTAAGGCTGG